AACAACAACAACAACAACAACATCTGTAAAATGCAACTAAAAGGAGAGATTAAAGCAGACCAGTTTTCCACATAATTCTGGAAGAAAAGCCACCAACAAACACCCAGCAGTGGCATAAATAATTCTTGGGTGTCCAAACTATTACCAATGAATAAAACTTTAGATTTTGTCTACCTTTAGTCATCCCCTGGGTCTCTTCTCTCTGGATTTAAGCTTTAGCAGGCATAAGCCTCTGGAATTACTCACTGGCTTGAATGGTTCACTAGTTCCTTCTTATTGTGGGTCCCTAATCAATCCCCCTTCTTGCCTGATCTTTTCAAAGGCTGGCTACAACTCAGACTAAAATATTCAACTGCCCAAGGCAGTAAATACTGTAAAGGGATGGTAAACTTTGAATCTACCTTTTCCTTATCCAATAATGGACTAGTGAACCCAATAATCAGGTAAATATTTGAGAAATGTTCAGAACTGGAAATTGACCTTAGGGATCATCCTTCACCCTTCAATGGAAAAAATAACCTCCTCTTACAGGAATTGCTCCCAGTTCTCCAACTCATAGTCTGGCATGTTTATCCCCAGGAGAGAAGTTTAAATAAAGAAACATGGAGTAAGGAGAATACCCAGACCCATGACTGGAGTTGTATGAACCTCCCTTGGAAGAAGTTGGCAGTAGTTTCAGTTAGGTTCTATGGAGGCTGACCCACCTAGATCATCAGCCATTCAAGGATACAGTTTTATGACCCCTCCAAGCCTCTTAGGATCCATCACAGTGATAAACTGTATTACTGTCCCTTGTCTTCAGTGCCTCTCTCTGCAAGAGGATTATATACTCCTGCCTTATTTAATACACGCTGGCTATAAGACCCAGTTTAGCCAGTAAAATGTAAGTAGCGAGCAGAAACATTACAAATTAAGTGTGTACCAACTCTTCTTTTCTCTCTGCCATGAAATCTACAGTATTCCAGATGGGGGGTCCTCCATCAACTGGGACCACTGACTAAAGCTATTTTGGAGCAGAAGTGCAACTGACTTGTGATAGATACGCAGCTTGAACGAGATATAAAACACTTCTGTAAGCCTGTGAGATTAGCAGTCAGTGGTACTATTGCATAGTTTAGCCTCTCCTGGTTGATGTACCCTCTTCCTTTCTGAGTGATCCACAAGTATAAAAAGCAACTCAGGTGACAGCAACATAATGATGATTCTAGAATAATTACACATTATACCTAGATGACAGTAAGAATATTAGAAAGTTGATCTACAGAGAAATAACTAACTTCATATCAAGGCAGTATCTGACTCAGTTATCTCAAAGAATCCCTGAATTTAAACCAAGTTCTTACTATTTTACTATATAATGAGAGTAGCCAGGTCACTTTGATGGTATACAAGGTTTCTTCAGCCTCATTTAATTCAAAGTCCAAGCTGACTGCCAGAATTCTATGAAGTTAGCATTTTTATGACTAATAAAGTAGTGTAATACAAAACAGGATATGAATGATGAAAACTAAACAAGTCATAGTGAGCACTGGGAGGAACAAAAAGTCAACGATAATTAAATTAAAATATTTCAAACAAAATCATTACAATTTTAACTAATAACTAGGTCACAGAACTAGGGGAAGTTGGATGTTTGCTTGCCCAGGTCAAGTGTTACACTGATGTTGGAACTAAGACAAATTCTGAAAACAAAAGATATGGGAAATACAGAAGGCCTTTCTGTTTTAGGAAAAGCTAGGGTATTTTAGCTACATAAAAATGAAACGCTGAGAAAGAAAATAGACACATTTCCTCAGGCACAAACAGTATCATTTTATGGCTCTGACTACTGATCCCTAAATTCACCATGAGAAAATTCTAATAGGTAGCCTCTTTTGAGTAAGTAAATGCCATCCCAAAATTTTAATTACAGCATTCAAAACCAATTACTCCATTTTCCTTAATGAAGAAACTTACGAAGATTTTGCCCAGGTGAATGAAGTTATGTTACAATGTGGTATGGCCAGTTAATTTACTAAGCAAAGGCACCTATTTGCTCAAGATAGCTTTGCTCAAATTATTCATTCATTGACATGGTCTCTTATTAAGAATAAAAGGACATAGTTTCAGCTCCAAGAAGTTCAAAAGATAAACCAGGATGTCAGAACTTTGAAAATCTTTCCACTTACTGGCCTTCAGCAAAGCCTGGATTATATATCATAAACTGATGGCTTCTTCCTCTTCTAGGAAAGACAGAAATTTTGGAAGCCTGTAAAAATGCATGGTGGAGGGATATGACCTTCTCCAACTTCTCAAAGGAGTAGGAGAATCAAGATCAACAGCCCGGGGCTGATACCTATGAAGCAGAAATCAGACATGTCTCCATTCTACAGCCTTGTTACCAATTCTGACAGCAGCTGTCTCTCCCATGGCATTCTCTACTTTTCTTCACAGTTCATTGCAATGGCCACACAGAACTCACAGACAATATCCATGATTATGGGGTTTAAACGCTAGGATACAGTTCTTCAATCAGGACAGCCTCTTCTCAGTGGTGCCTGTAGGTAAGCCTCTCTCTGGCCCTTGGGCCCTTCACCCCTCAGTCCTCTTGGGCTGGCCCAGCATCAGCCCTGCTCAGACAAGTGTTACAAGGCTATTTAGTTCTGCCAGTAAGTGCCCAGAGGCACCCTACTCCACAAACAAGCCTGGGCCTGAAGCACTTAGCAATCACTCCATGGGCTGGGAAGTCCACTGTACTATCTCCTGGTTCTGCTGTTTCTGTTTTTCTGCCACTGCTTCTTGCCAATTCCAGTGTTACAGATCTCTGTCTGTCTCCTGGATCTAGGAGGTTCTTACTGCTCTTTGTGTATTTTGGGTTAAGCTTGACAGTCTATTTATGCCACATATTAGGGCTCCTAAATTAGCCCCTAGTTTTTCCTTGAGGAACTCTATAGTTTTAGGTTTCACATTTAAGTGTTTTTGTGTATGGTGTGAGGTACAGATCTTTTTTCATTTTTCTGCAAATGGATCTCCAGTTTTGCCAGCACCATTTATTAAACAAACATTCTCTTCCCCATTTAATGGATTTCGGCCCTTTGTCAAATGTCAGCTGACCATAGGTCAATGCATCTATTTCTGGGTTGTCAATTCTATTCCATCGGTCTATATGTCTACATGTCATTGTACCGATACCAAGCAGTTTTGACTACCATGGCTATATAGTAGGTTTTGAGCTTTGGCAATGTGAGACCTCCTACTTCATTCTTCTTCTTCAATAGTGCTTTGCTTATCTGGGGTCTCTTTCCTTTCCATATAAAGTTAGTGAATGGTTTTTCCATATCCTTAAGGAATGTTGATGGGATCTAGATTGGGATTGCATTGAATGTATAGATTGCTTTGTGTGGAACTGACATTTTCACACTGTTCAATCTTCCTATCCACAAGCATGGGATGTTCTTCCATTTATGTAGATCTCTTAAGGTTTCTTGAAGTAGTCTTTTATAGCTTCCTTTGTACAGGTCTTTTGTGTCACTGGTACAATTTATTCCCAAGGATTTTATTTTTTTGGTAGCTATTGTAAATGGTATTGATTTCCTTATTTGTTTGTCGGCAATCTCTTTGCTGGTGTAGCAGAATCCAACTGATTTTTGGATGCTGATCTTGTATCCTGCCACGATGCTAAATTTCTCAATTAGTTCCAGTAGATTTTCTACTGAGTCTTTTGGGTTTTCTAGGTATAGGATTATGTCATTAGGAAATAGAGATAGTTTTACTTCTTCTTTACCAATTTGAATGCCTTTAATTTCCCTTTCTTGCCTTATTACCCTGGCTAGGACTTCCAGTACAATGTTGAATTGGTGATAGTGGGCATCCTTGTTTGGTTCTTGTTTGCAAAGGGAATGGTTTCAATCTCTCTCCATGAAGAATAATGTTGCCTGTTGGTTTTGCATAGATGCCCTTTATTATGTTGAGGAATGTCCCTTCTATTCCTGTTTTGCTGAGAGTTTTGATCAAGAATGGGTGTTGGATTTTATCAAATGCCTTTCTGCATCAATTGATATGATCATGTGGTTCTTTTTCTTTGTTTTATCAAGTCTCAAATTTTAAGACAGGCAGTGTGGTATAGTAGTTACAAATCTCAGGTGCCAAATGTGAAAGTACTTCTGAGTCTGGTAAGTCGTTATTTTATATGTCTACCTATTGTAAGCTCTGAGATGGCAAAATTAAGGTCAAAGCAGAGTTGTGGATTCAGCAGTCTGTCCCTTAATAAATACTTCTGGACAAAGTTAGAAAGATCATTTCTGACAGATAATCTGAGCATGTTGGAGGACCTCAAAATGCATTTTGGCTTTTGCTATAAGCAAAAAGATGATGAACAAAGTAAAAATATCAATAAATTCAAGTGGGAAATCATGTCTATTATCAAATGGGAAAACAAAAGTTGGCTAAACTCCAGTGGAACTGAGCAAAGAGCCCTTCTGACTATATACAATGCTAATGGATAAAGAGACGTCATATTTATCTGAAAGGAGCTCTGATGGCACAGTGCATAAGGCATTTGGCTGCTAACCAGAAGGTCGGCGGTTTGAACCCACCAGCCACTTCCTGGAAAGAAGGTGGGCAACCTACTTCTGTAAAGATTTACAGCGTTGGAAACCCAATGGGGGTCACTATGACTCATAATTGACTTGATCGCAGTGGGTTTTGTAAAATTTATCTTGATTATTAATAGCTTAATCTTACCACGTTGGGTCAAATGCTTTTCTACAGTCCAGGAAATACTCAATACTGGTCACCAGCATCCAGAGATTCATGAAAACACAGTATGTTCTAAAAAGTTTCTGTGAAGATCATCCCCACCTCCAGACTTCTACCTGGTACACACGCCTCCCACTGGGAGAAGAGACTAAGGTGATGGACTGTCGATCAACTAGATCCAAGGCCTGGATGGCTGATGAGCCAAAGATAAACTTGAGCCTGGAAAACAGAAAGGCTTCAGATTAGAGCCCTGACTTACACAGTCACCTCACTAACTTGACCCAAAGGATCACATCCTGGGCATTTAAGGAAAACAAACAAACGAACGAACAAACAAAAAAACCAACCACCTCATTTTAATTTAAATACAATAATACATTAAAATCTCATGTACTGATCCCCCCAAACAGAATTAACAAATGTCAGTATCTTGTTCATTTATTTCAGATTATCCTTTTTTTTCTTTTTTCAGGTGTAAAACATACTGCACACTGTACTCTT